AGAAAACCATTGCACGAACGTCACGATCACAAAGTTCAGACAGGTTTTTAAAAGCGCCGACCAAGTGTGCTGACAGATTAAAGCAGTTGACTTCCAAAAAAGATGACTGTAGTGCGATCTATACGGGAAAAGGTGGATTCTAACATCGATGCAAAGTTTTATGTTCAAAGTTTTAACCTTGTTAGGTCATAAATTAATCAGTTTAGTCTAAGCTTATTTTCTTTACTTTTCTCGAAGACGACCGCCTCTCGTAAGCGACCGCTTGGTCGTCCATAGTCTAGGAGCAAATGTTGTAATTTAAGTCCCGTGGGAATTTTAGACTGCAAGCAATCCACTCACCTCAATGTGTTAAGGAAATGCTACAGAACATAAAAAAATTTGGTGGCACTCTGAGAACTCGTACTGAGCCGTTTTAAGCGGATTTAAAAATATGACTTAAATCTGCAACATGAAAACGAGGCTGTGAAATAAAAAGGTAATAACGTTTCACTATTTGAGTGAATTTGCTCCAAAAGAGATTGTTCCTCAATGACTTTGATGATTTTATACACTAATCGTTTCTCAACATGGTCACGTGACAAAATTAGCAAGGAAACGAGGCCAAGGCAATAATGTCGTGAAAACGTCACTCCATTTAAATAAAATTGCAAGTACTTTGCACTGTTTCTGGTTAGCGGTAGTTTTCATCGAAGTAGTGGTCGGCCATTTTGACTTACAGACCATATAGACTTGGGAATATGCAAGTGTTGTGATGGAAACCACAGGAAATCCATTTATCAATGTTAGTCTGTGTTTAGTTTGCCAGTTACAAAGGGAAGAGGAAGTTGTGGAAAATCCTTCTTCTTACGAAACTCTGCTAGAAGCGATTAGTGCAAGAGCTAGGTATGGGGAAACAAAGTACGTTGAAATTTGGGCTAATCTGAAAGACCTCAGTCCCCATGACTTAAAAGTAAAAGGGACAACATGGCACCGAAAGTGCTATCAAGAAGCAACCCATTCTGAGATGGTGAAAAGATCAAAGCAGAGGTTAGTTTTAACAGGGAATCTGAATTTTAATTTTAATGATTGTAATTTCTTAGTAACTCTATATTTCAATTACTCATTATTACAAGAGAGGGAAGTAAATATAGATTACTTTATAAAGTATAATATTAAGAAATTCCAAAATCAAATGTTCTTAAGAAGTTCAATTCTAAACAATTCTACTAAGAAACAGAATAAAAAGAGATTATACTACAACTTAGTTCAAAGAGAAACTTTCCTCTAACAGAAATAATTAAGTTTAACTAAAGCTCTTAGAAAAACTTTATTTAGAACAAACGTACTTATAAAGGACATTCTAAGGAAAAGTTTGTATCAGGCTTTTGATTGTGTATTCGACATGGTAGGAAAAAATCTTTATGTACAATAGGATAGCTCCTTGTCAGTGAAAGTCAATTTTTGCAGTGTTCGACACTAACGCTTGCCCACTTGCCCGGGGCAAGTAGAATTATGCGTTGGGCAAGTGTGTAAGCTGCACAGGTTGCCCGTTTGGGCAAGTAGTTAAGGATAACACTCGATCGAGCCGCTGGGACAAGAATAAAATCCAACAGCTGCAGCAAAATCACCTGATCCCTTTTTTGAAATTTTAGTCAGGTAAACGTAGAAGAAGAATGAGAAACAAGTACAGTGACGGGTCCTTACGCCGATACATTGAGTATTTCGTTTTCCGCCATGTTTTTCTTCACGAGCAAGTATTCATGGGTAAGTTTGTACCCAGTCCTCTCACGTACTTGCCACGAACTACCAAACTTACTACCAAACAAACAAAGACGGCGGCCTGATGAGCAATCATGAGTTTATTTCGTTCTGGTTTTACGCAGAAGTCACTGGACACAGTCATTAAAAGCGAGGACATCCAAGCAACACAACAATTAAATTCTACAAAGCTTAAGGAACTAGGAGACAAGAGAAAAGCTGAATCTCAACCAGAAGTCTTCGCTGGGAAAAGCAAACGAGATCGAAAATACCAAACGTCATGGGAGCGCGACTTTCCTCGGCTTGTTCACGATGAAGAAAAGAACACCATGAAATCTCGCTTGGGATTTACGCTAGGCATTAAAGTTAGAAGGCAAAAGTATTGAAAATTCAATGAAACTGCGAGCAAAGCGAGCTGCTGATTTTTTGGGGGCAACCAAAAAATACACTCGGCAAGTAAAACTAGCGACATAGTTGCCCAGAGGGCAAGTTACCAGGAAAATTAGTGTCGAACACTGTTTTGCAGCAGTGCTTAAGGGAGAGTAGATCTCAATACTTAATCAATAAACACATTATTTAAAGGTATGAACGAGAACCAGCTGGCCCGGTAGAGAAAAGGAGAAAAACGACCGTCCAGCTTACAACATCTCGACTTACACGTTCCAAGACTAACCCATACAACAGGGACGTGTGTTTATTCTGCGAAAAGGCCTCAGGATATCGAGACACTCTAAGAACTGTTAGCACCAACTCTGCTGGCAAGTCACTTCACGAAGCGATCGAAATTTCAGGCAATAATGAGCTTCGAGTTAAACTGTCTAGCGCAGTGGATTTGAAAGATGCCCATGCAATTGATTTTGAATATCATAAAAAGTGCTGGGGAAAGAACGTTTCAATTGTGCTTCGTCAGCCAATAACTGCAGCTACGTCATCAAGTAGGTCCCTAACTGCAGAAGTCGCAGCAAAAATAGAGTTCCTAACCACAACCGAGATTGCTTTAAAGAATGGTAACGTGTTGATTATGTCAGATATACAGGCTGCTTACGATAGTATTCTCAAGGAAAATGGTATACAAAATAAGACCTGCAGTCGTAAATTGCTAAAACAACTCATAGAACGTAACATTGATGACGTTGAGTTTCATAAGCCTAAAAGAGTTAATAGGGCCATTTATGCGAGGAAAAATAAGACGCGTCTAACATAAGACGCGTCTTAAATAAGACGCGAACTTTCCGTATAAACGACACGTTTCGTCTAAAATAAGACGTTACTGAGCTAAGACGCGTCTTATTAGATAAGACATGCTCGTATAAATGGTACAGTTCGCGTCTTATGTAAGACGCGTCTTATTTTTCCTCGTATAAATGGCCCTAATGAGTCAGAGAGAATAACAATAAAGGAAACAAGAGATGCAGTCATCCAATTGTTAATCCAGGAGAGTGACGTGAAAGATGATACTAAGACGTTGTATGTTGCAGCATTGTACTGGAGAAAGGTTATCAACAAGTCCAAAAAGTGGGTGTTTGAGGGCTCGCTAGTAGGAATTCTTTCCAAAGATCATTTCCCTGAGGAACTCTATTGCTTTTTCAGATGGGTGATCAACGGCCCTAACACTGCTCTTTCCATAGAAGGAAAATGCTAGAAAATTCACAAGCGCGCTATGAGTCTAGTGCAGAGCACAATCTCCATGTGTCTAACATAGCACCAAGTTGGTAACAGGAAGTCAGAAATAACAAAGTCAAGCCGTGAAATGCCGCAGCAGTTAGCAATTGGTCTTGCTGTCCACCAGTCTGGCAGGAGTAAAGAGTTGGTAAACATGCTTCGTGGCTTTGGTATATTTGTCGAGTACAATAGACTTCTGCGTGTGGAGTCACAAATAGAAGCTAGCCTAATGAGGCGAACGGAGAAACACGATGGACTGTTCCTGCCGCCTCACATAGTTGAAGGAAGACATGTTTTTTGTGCCATCGACAACGTAGACTTCCAGGAAGATACCTATCACTGGCACAACACATTGCATGGGACATCAATGGCGAATTTTCAAAAGTGCCATGCAGATGACGAGAAGCCTCAAATAAGGTGAGCAGCTTGGAAAATCAATCCCTAATTCCTATTCATTATACATGTATTTATCAGTAATCTGTGTTTTGATTGTAAATAGTTAGTTTACATTTACACGTAAGGGAAAACTTTGTCGCCTACCATAAAGAATGTGCATCTCATTATGCTGTATCACGCCCTATTCATAAGTGCATTAAGTACTTTGATACATAATCGGTCTTAGAGCAAGTAACTTGCATGCATTAATGTTCAACATGTTTCCTTCCAACAACAGTTTGAATCATGATGAAGCAAACCTAGTCAGATCCAAGGACCTGCCAACATCGCTATCTACTTTAATGGAATGTCCCAATCCTCCCAGCAAGCCGTCAAGTCCAACGCATCCCAATTTTGCCCTGTGCAACAGGAAGAGGAACCTCGCCACAGTAAAATTCCTGTCTGGTCAGCTTACAACTCCCTCGTCGGCAAGGCTATGCCAGTTACAAGAGTAGACGCATTTCCCTTAATAGCTGCTTCAGCACGTAAGTGGAACACCCTCCTTACAGTGCTTATGCAAGCTCAAGCAATCAATGTCAAATCAAGAAGGTAGAAAAGCTGAATGATGAACAAAGAAAGAATTGCGAAGGCTTGCTGACGGAGAATGAGTGCTGGAATGCTTTAAAATGTTTCCAAAAAAACAAATCCCCTGGCAATGACGGTTTTACTGCCGAATTTTACAGCTTCTTCTGGAGTCAATTAGGCAAGATAATGGTAAACAGTTTTAATTATGGATTCCATAAAGGTGAGCTGTCAATTTCTCAAAGACAAAGCATCATACGTCTTATTCCAAAAAAGAACAAAAATTTATTGTATCTTAAAAATTGGAGACCTATTTCACTTTTAAATGTGGATTATAAGATTGCCTCTAAAGCTTTAGCTCTCAGACTAAAAAAGGTTCTATCGGCAGTTATAAATAACACACAAACTGGTTACGTAGAGGGAAGATTTATCGGTGAAAACATCAGACTTATAAGCGACATCCTCAATTTCACCGTTGACCAGGACATAGAGGGAATTGCTTTATTCATCGATTTTGAAAAAGCATTCGATAGTTTAGAATGGGAGTACCTATTTAAAGCTCTAGATACCTTTCAATTTGGACCCGACTTTAAGACTTGGGTGAAAACTCTGTACACAAACATTTCTAGCTGCATAATAAACAA